GTTGTACTTGAATTGCTTGGATTACACCCAAAGGCTTAAAACATGTTTCCTTTTTTCATTTAGCCTGCTGCAATTTTACCACATAGAATATAGCAAACACATCAAACCAAAGCAGAGATAAAAATGGAAAGTCTTCTAAGTTACAGGTAGTCCTCGACTTATGACCACAACTGAGTCCAAAATTTCTGTTGCTAAGTAAGACAGTTGTTAAGTGAATTTTCCTCCATTTTGTAATCTTTCTTGCCACAGTTGTCAAGTGAATCACTGCAGTTATTAAGTTAATCACACAGTTGTTAAGTGAATCTGGCTTCCCCATTGACTTTGCTTGTCAGAAGGTCACAAACGGGGATCATATAATCCACTTCAACTGTCATAAATATGATCCATTTGCCAAACGTCTGAATTTTGAGCACGTGAGCCTGGGGATGCTGCAACGGCCATAAGTGTGAAAAATGGTCATAAATAACAGTCACTAAATGAACTGTTTTAAGTCAAGGACTACCTGTACTAAGATCTTAAAGGAGCTGTCCTGAACGAATGCCAGTGACTGCAACTCAAAGAGTGATGGAATACGATGCAAAAGTTCCCTTGTTCCTTTCATAGATTAGATCTATGTACCATCAAAGGCATTAGCAGAGTAGAAGGAGGTGATATTTCCTCTGTGTAAAACACTGCTGATTTTGTGTCCGTTGTAATTTAAGACCATATAGAATCCTAATATTTAATGACTTTAAATTTGTGAAAACTGAATCTGGATTAGCCCTTTGATACAAATATATTTCCTGGTTGGCCAATACCACAATTACTTTCCTTAACATACCACACATGATCTTTATCTAATCTTCTTTGAACTAGAAATCAAGACAATAATACTTCCCGAGGAAAGACAAATTTGGCTCAGTGATTTCCAAGTGCTAATCATTATTCTAACCATTTCATGGAATACTCATTTAATATAACTATTTTTTTTCTGATTTAGCCAAAAACCATGCAGCTTTTGCTTTGTTGATATTACTACTGATTATACCTGTATTAATCTGCATCTTGTTCAAGATTGAAATTGTCCTTTGGTATCGGAAATCATGTCGCTCTTTTTTTCATAAAAAAGGTAACACTCTGTTTGTAAAGTCATATTGATTTATTACATGTCATCAAGTCAGTATTCTTAGATATCATATAGATAGTTTTTCTCCATGACTATCTGACCGCAGCCTGGTCATTCAGATCTTCCAATAGTGACTCATAATTGCTATACCTGAGTCCATCCACCTTATTGCTGTATGTTGTTGTCCTCTTCTTCTTTCCATCCTCTTTTTCCAGACTTGGAGCCTTTTCCTGAGACTAGGTCTTTGTTGTAATATGACCAAAGTAGGGTAACTTGAAGCTGTTCATTTGTACCTCAAATGAAAATTCCTTGGACTGAAAAAATATGCTGACAAATATATAATTGTGGTTAAACAAGGTTAATAGCCTTAACTTCTGAAGATAGGAAAGATGACAGGGCAAGTTCTAACTTCTGAATTTTTTTTAATAATGATGATGATGATGGTGATAATCAGTGATTATTGGGAGATTGGGTATCATACTAAAAAGTCTTGGACAGCACTTAAAAAAAATCCCTGCATTGACAACATGTCCATCTGTCATTTACAAAAGGCCACACTGCTTGGATGCGCATTTATACTAGGTGATACGTTATGATATCGTAAGTTAGGAAAAACTCAATGCATATTAAGACCAATAGCAGCTGAAGAACTGGTAATTGCAATTTAACATTTTGTATATAATAGTTATTTAAAATGTTATAGGAATTGCTATTTCTTTGTAATTCATTTCTATTGCACCTCTCAAGCTCTGAGCATTGACAAGTTTAAGATATTAGACTTCAACTCCCAGTATTTCTCAGCTTAAACTTGAGAGTCTTGGAAGTTAAAGTCCACACATCTTAAAATTGCCATAGTTGAGAAACACTGATATAGATGCCCATTTGCAGTGCTTTTTTTGTAAAAAAAAAAAAAAAAGGTGCCGGAACTCACACATGTCATACAACCTGCCTTGCCTACCCTACAAGCTTCTATCCCAAAAAGATGCCGGAACTCAGTTCTGGGTATTCTATGACAAAAAAAGCCCTGCCCATTTGTTACATTCATCAGTCATCCGATATAAAACCAGACATGGTTTGTTCTGGAATAAATCCTACTTGCAGCTGTTTCATGTATTGGGGATGGAGGTTGTTAATAATTTCTGAAGCAGTTTTGTCTTATATTGTCAGTTTCAGATGGAAAAACCTATGATGCATATGTGTTATATCCAAAAATCAGCAGCCAAGTTGACTTTGTACTGAAAGTACTGCCTGATGTTCTGGAAAAACAGTGTGGATACAGTCTCTTTATACCCGGCAGGGATGATTTGCCAGGAAAAGGTAAAATGTAACTTTCAGTCCGATGTTCCTTATTTACTATTTATTTTATTTATGTATTGAATTTCGAGACTGCCCATCTCACTGACAGCAACTATACAAATTGTCAAGTGGTCTATGCACATAGTCAGATACAATGGAAATAATTATTTAGGTAGTCCAAAATCTTAAAGTCCTTTTCAATTCATGCAGCATTTTATACCATATGAAAACAAAGGCAGATTTTTTTTTAAAAAAAATGGGGATGGTGGGCAGAATAATTAAAGAAGGAACATTTCTGCTACTAAAAAGTGGGTAAATTTTATGTTATTTGTTAATATAAATATTAAATAATCATAGTGACATACAAAGTAAGCATATATAAAACAATAAAAACATATGCACATAATAATAAACAGAAAAAATAGCCCTTGATATTCTTAACTTCTTTTTACTTAAGTAACATAAAGTTCTCTACAATTAAGATCCAATTTTAGTCAACTAATATTTGAAAGCAGCATGAAAGTGTTAAGTTTACAAATGAGAAATGATTTTTAATATAATCTTTAAGCCATTTTTACAGTAGAATCTTATGTAACATAATAAAATAATCCATTCTTATTACTATAAAACTAGATACTAAACTAAATTGTGGGTGAAGTGCTAATATAACTATTTTTCCTTTACAATGAATTTGTACATGCATATCTGAGTAAATAAGTGCCATTGTAACTTTGAACGGTTACTAAATGAACTGTTGTAAGTGGAGGACATACACTTACACAAACAACTATCTTATGTGCCTACTGTTGAATTACATAAACAAGGAGTGTAAGATGTATTCATTTTTATAGTGCCTAGTTTAGCCTTTATGTAATAACATTTTGAAAGCACATGAAAGCATTCAGTGATTAATTTTCTGTTTTATATTTTTTAAGAAGGCTATATTTCAGGCACCAGTATTATAGAAATTATCTTAATTCTAGGCTTTGTTTTTGGCCCATTATTGTGTCATTTAAAATCCATGTGTATCCAAAACAAGAGAATATGTTTGTGGATGTTAACATCAGATGCAATCTTTATCTGTGGTGATTTATAGCATTAGTCAACGTTGTTGATGAAACCATTGGGCAAAGCAGGAGGCTGATAATGATTCTAGTACCTGGGTTGTCCAGCTCAGAAGAGGCTCCTGAGCAGAATATAGCTGTGTATCACGCTCTTATACCTGATGGAATGAAAACTATCCTGATCGAAATGAGTAAGATAAAGGATTACAGCCACATGCCAGAGTCCATTAGATACATCAAGCAAAAGCAGGGAGCTATCAGATGGAAAGGGGACATCCCGAAGAAAGACTCTTCTTCTGCAAATAGTTCCTTCTGGAAAAAGGTCAGATACCGAATGCCACCAGAACATCAAGTCTTCCAAGAACTAGCTTTGATGCCAGTTCCTTGTAGCATCTCCCAGATGATAGAAGCATAGTCTTGAGATTATTTCAGAATCCCTCTGGAAGGATCAAACGTAACTCCGACTACGTTGTACACGACACCGGAGGAGATGGACTCCTAAATTTACATGTCATGTTCGAACTGATTTTCTTTCTTATTCACCAGATTAAGGTAATTTAATGGTACTCCCACAAGCCAAACTGTTCAGCATTTTCATTTGTGTTTTTAAAAAATGTAATGTGAAGAGGAATTTTTTGATAAAGAATTATTGCTTACAACTTTGGTACAAATACCCAGGATTTACTGACCAATTTTATATCACCCTGTTAGTTTTGGATACCAATCCTGCCTCAATGTATATTTCCAGACTCTGTGCAGCAGCACTCAAAATTCATCCAATGATGACCTGTTCCAATAAACTAGATTTCTTGACCACCTCGTTTACCATGTTATTAAAGTGCTTTGTTACTTGGTAGATCCAGTTTTCCACATACTCACCTTTTATGCTCTCCTGCAACCATGTAATGCTCCTATCACTTCTTTTAGATTCTTTTTTTAAAATATGCTTTTCATTGTTTCTACCTTATAGTATATTGTTTGTTTTTCAAAATTTGGATTGCTAACAAAGAATTAAGGGAGTACTGGGATAGCTATTTCTAACCTTATTTGGTTTTCATCAGCCAGACATACCCTTCCGAGGTTCGAACCTGGGCTGTCTGCATGTTAAGCAGAAGTATTAGCCCCTAGGCCACAGGCTCTTTCTCACTTTGTTAGCTACAAGAGACAGTATATTGTTTATATTTTCTAGATTTTCATAAACATTTTACAGGTTTTTATTTTTATTTTTGATGTATCCTTTAAATGACCGGACCCCACTCTCTTTATGTTGGTCAGTGTCTCAAATATTTCATTTTGACTTGCTCAGTTTTTTAATACATTTTTCTCATTTTCAAGAGAGAAAACTCACATGTGCAAAACTTCACATGTGGGAGGTTGCATTTCTGCTGGCATTTTGCTTTCAAACCTCTACTCCCCTTAGTGAAGACTAAGTAATGAGTTAGGTAATAATCCGTTGATATAATCCAGTCCTGTTTTTGCAGACTGCTTGGCAGCTTGAAATATTTTGAATTCCCTGTCATTAATATTCCCTTTCATTAGCTGTATAAAGCATTAGAAAGAGGCCCTACACCATGTGTGAAAATGAAAAATATTTCTCTTCAATCTTACGGAAGATTTTTCCAGCTGCCTCTCCTATGCATGGGCATGCACAACCATTTTGCTTTGTGAAGAGACAAAGATATACACAGCCAGGAGGAACTTCTGAAAAGAACTACATAAGCTGGAAACAGAGGCATTCACATTTGAAGAGAGTTGCTTCCTTACACTCCTGCGCGGCATAAAGCACCTCTTTGGGCTGCCTTGCACAATTGTAGTCACTGTCTGATGCGCAAAATGACTGGGCTATTTTGGGCGTATCCTCAACAGCTGAAAAATGCCATTTTGTTTGAAACAGACCATTTTTATGAGTTCTTCTTATATAAGATATAAACAGTTGACCATATCATTATCAACCCTGCTTTTTAAGCACTCAATGTTCTTATTTAATATACATTTAATTTTTTAACACAGCTGGAAGTTTTAACAGTATATTTGCAACATGCTCTTTTTTTTGTTTGTAAATATATTGTAATGTGTATATATTATTTTTATGATGTGAACTGTCTAGAATTGATTAAAACCACATGGTGCCTAAATAGAATTAAATAAATCGATACTATTTCTCCTTCTAGGCAGAAATGTGTTATGTGTATGTGTTTACTATAGACTGACAAATGTGCTCGCATTAGGAATAAGCTATACTGCAACCTAATCAATTTGCTATTAATATATGCTCAAAATATATTTTTTCCAAATAAAAATAACAGAGTCAATTTTTTAAAATTATTTTATTTTAGTGATAACTCAAATTAGTGAGCTACACATTGGTTGTAAATTAAAACATTAAGATGTAATATTAGTTACATTTGCCAATATATTAAAGTGTAAGAAATTAGCCAGAATTAAAAAATGTGTATGATGAAACAATAATTTTTATTGTTTAAGCCATAGATGGTTGTAAAAAATGAAAAAGGCATGATACCATCGTGAACAAAATTACAACAAAATATTGCTTAATTGACTCTATAATTATCATGAAACAATTTCTCAAGTTAGTTTATTATATTCAACAATGTACATAATATATTGCTGATTGAGTTTATAATAAATATGTAATGATGCAAACTATTCATAATTATGGGTGGGGTGTCAGAAAGGCAGCTCTGATCCATAGGGTGTATTGCGCAAATATTACAGAACTGTCTTTTTTTATTGCTCAACATTGGATTTCTGTTCTTTGTTCAAGGCAAATGCAACATGAATCCTTTTCTCCATGCCACTTATTTAACCAAATTTTTAAAGAAGGGCTAGGCATTTTTTACAAACCTTATTTAAGGTTTTTGCTAGAGACATTGAAATATTGCTCTCACATGCTGGAAATTGGTAAATAGTAATAAGTTGGTTAAGCAATTTTTCCTGGGAAATGGCACTATAAGGATGATGAAGTATCTGAGTTTGCTTCTATTCCTTTGGCATTTAGCAGCTTGCTAAATGCTGCTAACCTTTATGGTTTAACTGCAAAGGTTCACTTCTGTCTTACCTTGACACTAAAAAATAGCCAAGCAGGTCTTGTTTTGCCATTCTAAAAGAAAGTGTTACTGACACCCTTTGACTATAGGACTATCCTCTTGACAAACTTAATGCATAGCCTCTAAATACATGAGGGACTAAGGCCATAGATAAGAATAAGAGCAACCTATATACATGTGTCTTCTTTAGATTTGCACAAACAAATTAGGGCTTTAAATTAGAGCTTTGTGGCCAATAGTAAGGCTAAAAGGTCTACACTCCAGCCTACGTCTTTAGGTAAGGATGGGTGTATTGGTCCAGATCCCTGCTCTCAATATTAAGAGTATCATTATTTAAATGAAAAAATACCTTCTAACCCAAGATAACAAAACAACTTTTTCAGGCATTCTGACTGATAACTTGTAGACGGTGCTTCTCATAGACATGTGGAAAGTGGTGGAGAATTTCCACATGTCCACAGAAGGCCTTTCTAGTTCATGTTTAATCTAGTTTTTAGTTCACGCTTTTGGAAGAAACCAAGACTAGATGTAATTTGTCTTGAATTGTTGGTCATGTTGAAATCTTGTCAGCATGGAGGTTACCTTTCTCAGTAGGACTGCATAAAATATATCATTGGAGAACAAGAAAAGAACATATAAACCTCTCTGCTACTGTTTAATGTCTACATGAAACCTTTGAGTCAGATCATCTGTTGGTCATCTTTACTTCTGGATGAGGTTGCACTACCCTGTTCAAATCTAGTTCACAACTTAGGGGATCTAATGAACTCAAAGAGCAGGTGGCAAATGTGGCTAGGAGACCCTTTGCACAACTTTACTTTGTGTACCAGCTGTGTTCTTTCCTTGATCTGGACTCCATGCGCTCAGTCACTCAAGTCCTAATCATCTCTCATCTGGACTACTACAATGGGCTCTACATGGGGCTACCTCTGAAATCCATTCGGAAGCTTCGGCTGGTACAAAGTGTAGCAGCTTGAGCAATCTTTGGGGCCCGTAGAATGTTCCATATTACACCTCTGCTCCACAAATTACACAGGATGCTGGTCTGCTTCCAAATGAAGTTTGAGGTGGCTATGACCTTTAAAGTCCTTAACGGCATGGGTCCAGGCTACTTATCCGGCCAGGATGAGATCTGCCTTGCCAATCCTTCAACAAGAGTCTGAAGGCCTGGCATTGCCAATTGGCCTGGGGACTCAATGAGGGAGTACCATACCGCAGACCCCAGCTCTCCCCTGCATATCCTGCTTCCCCCCACCCATCTTTTATTATATTACTGTATTTTCATTGTCATTTTATTGTTTCATTATTTTGTTACTGTTATATTTACATTTCTTTTCATTTCTCTGTTTTTACTGTTACAAGTCACCTAGAGTAGCCCCCTGGTGAGATAGGAGGCAAATAAATTTAACAAATAATAATAATATGATCAAAACTGAAATAATAAAATTACTTTCTGTAGATTTTTACTGTATTGGTTTGAAATTTAGCAAAATTGTAGACTTCATTATATAAAATATGAATGCTTTGAAGGTTAGAGCTTTAGAATTGCTGTTGTTTTTGCAATTCCTCTATCCCTTTATGTTTCTGTTGTACTCTCAGCTCACTATTCCCACTTTAAAAAGATCTCACTGGTGCAAAATATTCATTGGAATATATCTGACTCTCTTTTGGCCCAGATTCTGCCATAGTGGATGGATTCCGGGGGCCCAGTTTTAAGGCGAAAACATATATGTTTAGCCTTCCAGATGCATAAGGTATACCAGAGTATCTGAGGAGCCATTTGGCTCCAATGAGACTAGTCTGCCCCACTGGCACCAGAGGAAGAGGCCTGCTGCGGACCCTGTCAGCCAAGGAATTCTAGCTGGCAGAAGCAAGGAAAAGAGCCTTTTCTGTTGTGGCCCCGGCCCTGTGGAATATTCTACCACTCAAAGTGAAAACTGCTCCCATCCTTCCAGGCTTCCGGAAGTATATCAAAACCTGGTTTTGCTGGTTGACTTGGGGCCCTGAGGGGAGTGTGCACTGCTGGAAGTGGTTGCCATGCCACCAATCTCATTGGTTCTAGTTTTTATATGGTGTTGTAATTATATTTTTTATAATTTTCATGTTTATCTTTTTATGGTTTGTAAGCTGCCCAGAATTGACTTATTAGAGGCAACACATACACATTTAATAAGCAATGAAATATCACCACTTAATATTTTCATAACCCTTCCCAAAATTGTCCTGATAGTTGTTGACACCTGCCTACTAGCACAACTATTGAGCTGACTGCGCCTTTTAAGTCCTTGTTACCAATGTTTATCAGCTGTGGTTTAAGGTCTGCAATTTCTATGAATAGGGGAAAAGCACAATGGGTTTTTCTAAGAAAGCAACAG